CACTCTTCGCGCCTCCCCTGACATGCACTCGCACCCCAGACCGACTCCGCTTGCATTCACGTGATTTGTCGAGATGAGAGGCGGGCGCGGGCGCAATCATCAATCAAATTTAAAGGGAAGCCAGCACATCCTGACCACATCATTGTCTTTACTGGGTGTGTTTAGGGAATATTGGCATTTATTTACATGTGATTTGATTAGCTAGTCATGGTGGACTGTCATGATTTTGGCTAATGAAGGACACTAATGAATGATGCACATCATTAGAAGTGGGTATATGCAGAGCCGACTGATACAGAAGCATACCCTCCACTACACCACTGAGTCCAATGCATCCGTCAATCCTTGAAACCTGAGCAGTGGTACTACGTACGTACAGAAGAAAACCCTGCAGATCATGCGTTGTGATCCTTACCTGCATCCTGCATGGCTCAGACTTCTTGGTTTACCGGTCCCTCCTTCCTGCGTTAACCACCTGCAGAAAAAACACAAATGACGTTTGAGCTAATTGAACCTGAAAATGACTCAGAAATCCGACCACAAGTACAAACATGTGCTACTAACCTGGAGGAACCAGAGGTCATCATAGAGGACAATTTCATTTGTGTTGGAGGACGACTGAAGTACTCTGAGGTTGCAACTGCAGAAAAGAACCCAATAATTCTCCCCAAAGATAGCCACATACTCATTAAAAATCACCATGAGCAAGTGAAACATCAAGGCCGTCACTTGATAGAAGAGGCAATCAGGGCAGCAGGATTGTGGATCTTGGGAGGCAAGTTGCTTATCAATTCAGTACTCCAGAAGTGCATAACCTATCGCAAGCTGTATGGAAAGCTTGAAGAACAACACATGGCAGACCTGCCATCTGAACGTTTCAAAATCTGCCCTCCCTTTACGTAGGTGGGTCTCGATGTATTTGGACCCTGGTCTGTCACAAGCAGATGCACCAGAGGAGGACAGGTGTAGAGCAAGCGGTGGGCCATCATGTTCTTCTGAGAGTTCGAGGTCATTGAGTTGATGGACGCATCAAGTTGCATAAATGCTCTCAGGTGCTTCTTTGCACTCAGAGGCCCTGCGAAACATCTCCGTTCTGATTGTGGTACCAATTTCTTCGGAGCGTGCAAGGAGCTTGGAACGAACAAAATGGTGCAGAGTAGGGCTGCACTATAAATCACATGCGATATTTAATGCACATCTTGTCAGAAAGCTGGTTCTGTAATCAGCGGTAAATCTCCATCACGGCTTTACTGATAAGATGCGCTTTAAATAATCGCATGCGATTTATCGTGCAGCCCTAGTGCAGAGATACCTAGGTGGGCAAGGATGCAGCTGGGAATTCAACCCACCACACAGTTCTCACATGGGAGGCTCGTGGGAGCGCCTGATCGGCATTGCCAGAAGAATCCTAGATTCAATGTTTCTATAGCTGAAAACTTGCTTAACCCACAAAGTTCTTTGCACACTAATGGCAGAAGTTACTGCTATCATTAATGCACGACCACTCCTACCTGTGTCTGCAGACCCGGAACAACCATTCATACTTTCACCATCAGTGCTCCTTATGCCAAGTTTACACTGCATGATTTTAGCACGATTTTTCACTCGCCGACAGGTTTTGCGAAATCGCCGACAAATACCCGAAATCATAGGCAAATCGGTGCTCGTTCACGCGAGTGACAATCACGCAGTGTGAATTATCAAAGACGCGATCTGAGGGA